CCAGACGTGTGTGTGTGTGTGTGTGTGTGTGTGTGTCCTGCTCGACACAAGGCCTGTACATCTGGGATAAAGGAGGAAAAGAAGGAGAACTGGTTATAATGCATGCGTTTTAGTGCAGCTCAAATGACCAGAACTGTGCTTCCCAAAAGCATTGTCATTGATGATCTCTACAATACAATCACAGTTTTACCGAATGTCTACTTTTCAAATTTGCTGCTTATTATTTACTTCTATTACGTTACATATTTGTGTATCAGGAACACAAGCAAACTGACATAAAATATGCTTTTATTGACCCTTTTATTGATTTTTTATTGTGACTGATGTGAAATACAGAATTTTTTCAAATGAACAGAAATGTATTGCCCTAAAATTTAAATAAAATAAAATCCTATGTACTATTTACAACACTTTTTATTTAGCTAATTATTTGAATCTTGCATAGTTGCTCAGAATCCTTTTCTAATTGGGCAATCTCTTGGTTATTATTTCAGTGTTTGAAAAAAAGTTAAAATAGCTGAAAACTTTGAAATGTGATACGCTTTACTTCATCTAAACGTTTTCTACACATAAGCCTCATTAATTGAGAGACTAATTGGCAAAATGTATTTTTGAAAAAATGTACAATGTAAAAATCATATAAAGGCAAAAGGTGGAAAAAAAGTCACTTTCCCTAAAACAAATATATTTTTAAAAAAAATGCATGTCCATTTGTCAGCTATAAATATACCTTATACACTAGTACATTTATGCTCTGATGTACACACAGCAGCTCATTAAAAAGTGTTTTGTATAAGTGGCAATAACAAAGCAAACTGTGAATGCCAAATGTCAAATTGTCATGTCATATCTCCAGAAACAACAAGTACAACACAAACGCACACACACTTGTAATTTTTAATGGGAATGCTGAAGTGCATTAAGAAGTTATGTTTACATTTCACTGGCACTTAAAGATAATAAACATCCAATTAGATAAAATTAGCCTTTTATTAAAACTCCAAGTTGATGTGAAAAAAATCTGAGACTTGTTTATTAATTCATTTAATCTCAGAACTATAAATCACGTCTGGTCATATGGATCGGAGGGACTCCTCTTAAGTAGAATAAATCTGTTTGTCAATTTTGTGATCAATTTAGTTGCTTTTGCTGCTTGTTTTCATCACACAGTCTTGCAGAGAAAAGACAGTTGACACTGCTAAATATTCAGAGCCAATATCTGAGTCGTGAACATGAATTTTAGCATATGATGTTCACTCATTTTAATTCTAGAGCATCTTCTGACCTTTTAAGGTCTGCAGAGATGGCAGCAAGATGAGTGAACAACAAAGACTGGAAGAAGTCTGGAGGAAGGAGAAAGATGAAGGTTTTCATTTCATTTGAGAGATGGATGTGTCGGGATGGCATTTCCACTGCTATCGAATCAAAAAATGAAAGATTCTGGCAGCCTTAGGACAAAACGCTCGGTGTAATTGAGTTGGTTCTGGGGTGGCTGAACCGCACAGACTAATTGGTTTCCTTTGCTCTGTCTTGTTTCTTTCTGTTTATTTTAATTACTTCAATTGATTTGATTCCTCTTCTTCTTCTTCTTTTCTTTAGCACAAGTGGCATATACAATATCTTTATTTTCTTTAAGGTAAGACACTACAGTGAATAGGGTAAAAAAAGAAATCTAATAGATATCACCATTCTTCCCTAATTAATTAAACACAGGCCATTGTTTTTGTATTACATTTTTTTTTCTAAAATGTTGTATGCAAATGAAGCATTGTCTAATTAAATTTGCATAGAACAGATAAACAACATTGGATTAAGGCACACTGGTTTTCCTGGTGCTTTTGTAATGAGATTCATGCATATCAGTGATTACTGGAGATCTATTTGAAATGACAAAATATTAGGCCATGAGTGCTACCAGTGTGATATTGCTTTAATGAAACAGTTCAATAAACAAGACGTTAACACTGAATAATGTGTTTTAGACACAACATTACCAGTTAAATTTTCCCCACTGACAAATAGTTCAGGGGGATTTTTAGTTCCTGAATGATTCAGTGTTTTTGAAGGAGTCAGTTAAATGAATGATTCGATGTCTCATTCACAATTACTTGTTTAATTCCTGAATGAATTGACCTTTTGAAAGATTAGTTGAGTAAATGAATCAGTTACTCCTTTTTAAACACTGTCACTTCTATACTTTCAGAATGAATTTGTGTTTTTGAATGAATCCTTTGGATGAACGATTCAATGACTCATTTATATATACTTGTTTAATTCCTGAATGTATCAGCGTTTTTGAACAATCAGTTGAGTAAAGGAATCAATTACTCCTTTATAAACACAGTCACTTGTTTAGTTTCAGAATAAATTTGTGTTTTTAATGAATTGGGTGAATGAATGATTCAATTGCTCATTCATAAATCCAGTCAGCTGTTTTGTTCCTCTCTCACTCTCACTCTCTCTCTCTCTCTCACTCTCACTCTCTCTCTCCACAGCTTGTCGCGCAGTCGTGTGGAAACTCTCGTTTTCTCCCGTTTTGCACACTATACTGCCGTGTTTCGCCGTTATGTAAGAAAAAAAAAAAAAAACCTTTGCCAACTTCCTAATTTGCTCGCGAATGGTTGGCTGCTCCCCTGTCACAGACTGAGTTTACACGCAACACTCAATCCGACCCATTTAAAAAGACCTGAATCACTGAAAATAAACCCGATCCTGTGACAAACGCTGCGAGATGACAGAACAACACATGTGCAGCGTTGCTAAATATGAAAGAATGCCCAGTTAATCCACTTTAATCTCAGCAAGCTTTGCATATTACCTGGCTATTAGTTATCAGCTCTTCAGCATTATCATTATTAATACAATTAACGTTAAATCGAACTATTCACCATTTAACATTACTTGAAATAGTACATTATTCTTAAAGTTTTTCGATGTTTGTAGTTTTTATATGAACCATACATCATTGTTAAATGACATCTGAAGTGTATGTGATTCTCTTCTGTTTGTGTGAGTTTGTCGTGCATGTGTTATGTCATGTGCAGCATGTTTTGTGAGTGTATTATGTGTTTAATCTGTCATCAGCATTGAGGGAGTTGTACTGTCCTCTAGAGGAAAATACTGGTACATACACTCACACAGAGTTCACGTTTGACTTCAGGATCGCTTTTTATTCATTATTTTGTTGCTCGTCTAATGCATTACGTTTTATAACTTATTGATTGCTGCATAATTTATTAAATTGCGTTTTTATTTAATTGTACTTAATTCTTAAGGCCTACTATTTTGCCATTATCCATCTGAGCTATAGTGATTTTACTTTTCATGCCATATTTTGCATTATTCACATTGAACTGCAATTGCTTGACAATGCAAATCTACAAGCTCGGTGAGTGAGAGAGAGATTTATAAGGTGTGCTTTGAATGTAGCCAAAGCAGTGGATCTGTGCGGTCTGTTTCACAGCAGTTTTCCATCTGACAAGCTAAAATACACCTACAAAGGTGTACTTTAGTGTGTAGATAGGTGTAGGCAGTGTTGGGGGTAACTCATTACAAGTAACGCGAGTTACGTAATCAGATTACTTTTTTCAAGTAACTAGTAAAGTAACGCATTACTTTTTTAATTTACAAGAAAATATCTGAGTTACTTTTTCAAAAAAGTAATGCCAGTTACTTTGTTTTCCCATTTATTGCCTGACGGCTCTCCTGTCCCCATATTGGGAGAAATCAGGAGTACAGAGGCGCTGTGTGCGCTAAATATGATGTTACTGTAGTTCTAGACTAAATGTGAATGTGCATTAATTCATCCCACTCACAAAAACAGATTTAGTATTCATCAAAATGAATTAAAACTCAGAATATGACGCAAACCTGCAATAATTAAATATGTTAAATAACACAAATGTATCTAATTAGATAGGTGTAGGCAGTGTTGGGGGTAACTCATTACAAGTAACGCGAGTTACGTAATCAGATTACTTTTTTCAAGTAACTAGTAAAGTAACGCATTACTTTTTTAATTTACAAGAAAATATCTGAGTTACTTTTTCAAAAAAGTAATGCCAGTTACTTTGTTTTCCCATTTATTGCCTGACGGCTCTCCTGTCCCCATACTAGGAGAAATCAGGAGTACAGAGGAGTTGTGTGCGCTAAATATGATGTTACTGTAGTTCTAGACTAAATGTGAATGTGCATTAATTCATCCCACTCACAAAAACAGATTTAGTATTCATCAAAATGAATTAAAACTCAGAATATGACGCAAACCTGCAATAATTAAATATGTTAAATAACACAAATGTATTTAATCCCATTCTATTAGCCAATATCTTTGCTGCTGAGCTTTGATGATCCAGTTCAACCGTACTAATAAGCACAAATGACTTTAGAGAAACTCACAATTGTGCTTCGTTGTTTTTATTGCTGAAGAGTGTTTCTTCTGCTGCGTTCTACTGTACAGACCTGAATTTACTTTAGCTTCAGCCTGAGGTTTATTCAGTACACTTTTAGGTGTGAAAGGGCTTTTACATTTGCTATAAATAAAACTTCTTATATTAAAAACAATCAAGCCCTGCTTATATTTAAAAAGCAACGCGAAAGTAACGCAAAAGTAATGTAACGCATTACTTTCCATAAAAAGTAACTAAGTAACGTACTTAGTTACTATTTATGGAGTAACGCAATATTGTAATGCATTACTTTTAAAAGTAACTTTCCCCAACACTGTGTAGATAATTTTGCATCTGTTATGGTAGAAATAGTAGACTGATAAGCCAAAATATGATATTAAGAATCACACATACAAAAGTAAAAAATGTTTTTATAAATCAGCTGTCTGTTTGCACTGAGGATTCAGTTCTGAATTTGAGCGGTGAGTAAATGATAGGCTACTATAAAACAACATGTACTGTGAAATACAGTGAAATCTGCTTTTTCACATTAATTTACAGCGCTCTCTTCATAGAGTCCAGCGGATCCGCAGAAGTTTGTTTCATAATTCACTAACAGACATGCAACTTCTCACTATTTTAATATTAAATGAGCGATTTTGAGTGCACGGACACAACTCGGTAGTCGTCGGTTTTTGTTTGGTGGTTTTAGCTGAAGCGTTTCCCCTTTAGATGCGCGCGCTGCGGGTGCTGTGACGCGGCGAGGACACCCGGATCCCGGTCAGCCACGTCACCGATCAGCGGCGCGAGCGCGGCGCACAGTCCAGCGTAGAGTTGCAGTAAAGTATCACGGATTCTATTTGGTACGTCTATTCAATTAATACGAGATTCGTGCTTGAAAGACCGGATGACGCGCACGCGCGGAGCAGCAGAAAGAAAGAGTTTTTTTATTTTTTATTTATCATTATTATTTCTGCAGGACGAACATCTGATCTGAGAACAGCTTCAAGCTCTTTAAATCCAGCGCTGATTACTGATCGATAGCATGAATATCTTCCGACTGTCTGGAGATGTTTGTCATCTGGTGGCCATCATTATTCTGTTCCTGAAGATCTGGAGATCCAAATCATGCGCAGGTACATGTGTGCACAGCAGAGTGATCTAAACTACAGATTGCATGCTGTGTATTATTGAGTGTTATTGTGCGCACTGCTGATCGAGCCGGACGAAAGCACGCTTTTTTTGATTTTTTAGAATTGATTCACATATGAAAACGCTTGACACATTTTTAACGCGCGACTGTCGGGCTGTAAATGATGTTAAGCGTTTGCTCGCGTGTAGTTTTCATTGCGTTTACGTGGCAGCTGCTGTGTGACCCACCTACAGCATGTTTTTAAGGTTCTTCAGGGGTTCCTTGAGGAACTCAAGATCCTCTTTCGGCATTTATGAGTCTGCTGTGTCCTGTTCTGTTCTGAAGTTTGTGTGTGTTTCAGGTATTTCTGGGAAGTCTCAGGTGCTGTTCGCACTGGTCTTCACCACCAGATATCTGGACCTGTTCACATCCTTCATCTCCGTCTACAACACCATCATGAAGGTAAAGACCATGAAAGCCCATTTCCAGCACATAAGGGAAAACTAATCTTTGGTAAATGATAACAATTATTTACATAAAAAGTCATAATTATGATATAAAAAGTTTAAATTATGAGATACTGAGTCAAAACTATTACATACGACTCATAATTCTGAGATGAAAGTTGAAATCAGATAAAAAGTCAAAATTATGACATACGGAGTTATAGTTGATATTAAAAAGTCAAGTCATAATTATGATAAAAACAATGGCATTCAAAACTATCAGATCAAATTCAGAATCGTCAAAGTCAAAATTATAAGATACTAAGTCATAATTATGAGATAAAAAGTCAAAATTGACATTCTAAGTATGAGATTAAAAAGTTAAAATTGAGATCAAATCATAATTGACTAAGTCATAATTATGAAATAAAGTGTAAAAATGATCACAAACTAAGTCATAATTATGAGATTAAAAAGTAGAAATTGAGATTAAGTCATAATTATCAATAAGTCAAAACAGATAAAAAGTCAAAATTACAAGATGACATTGCCATAATTATGGTATTAAAAAGTTGAAACAGATAATCATGACAAAAACAATAGTTTAAAAGATAATTCATAATCAAGACATTTTTTTTAAAATTATGACTTTGTCTCACAATTATGACTTGGTATCTCAATTTTGACATTTTATCTCATAATAACAACTTTTTGACAATTTCAGCTATGTACAGTATCTCACAGAAGTGAGTACACTCCTCACATTTTTGTAAATATTTTATTATATCTTTTCATGTGACAACACTGAAGAAATTACACTTTGCTACAATGTAAAGTAGTGAGTGTACAGCTTGTATAACGGTGTAAATTTGCTGTCCCCTCAAAATAACTCAACACACAGCCATTAATGTCTAAACCGCTGGCCACAAAAGTGAGTACACCCCTAAGTGAAAATGTCCAAATTGGGCCCAAAGTGTCAATATTTTGTGTGGCTACCATTGTTTTCCAGCACTGCCTTAACCCTCTTGGGCACGGAGTTCACCAGAGCTTCACAGGTTGCCACTGGAGTCCTCTTCCAGATGTTAGAGACCTTGCGCTTCTCCACCTTCCGTTTGAGGATGCCCCACAGATGCTCAATCATCACCTTTACCCTCAGCTTCTTTAGCAAGGCAGTGGTCGTCTTGGAGGTGCGTTTGGGGTCGTTATGTTGGAATACTGCCCTGCGGCCCAGTCTCCGAAGGGAGGGGATCATGCTCTGTTTCAGTATGTCACAGTACATGTTGGCATCAGAGCATGTGAGCGGAGCGGAGTGGTAATATCTCCTTAAGAGCGCAGAGCGCCTTTCTGAAGATTCCACTCTGTTCGCTCAATACGCTCAGTGCCGCTCGCTCAACCCAGAATGCCGTTTGGTGATTTGCTTGCTCGAGATCGAGAATCTGTAGAGATCGAGAATAGTAGAGCAGTTATGGAGTTCAGATATTGTTTCAACGAAGTTGCAAGCCTTATACATAAATGTAAAGTAAAAATCAAAGTTAAGAATGAGCAGGGAGAAGAAACTGAGAGGGAGTGCGGGGAGACTGTTAAAGTTAGTACAGATTCATATTGATTACAGAAAGCACGAAGATGTGCTACGCAAACATGGTGAAGCAAAAGGTGAGCTAGTTTCATACCATAATAAATGAATAAACAGGTAGGCTAAGGTTATATTCGGTTGTACGGAGCCCCGATACAATGACACCGGGGAGAGAAAATGGCTAATTGGGCCCAATTTGGACATTTTCACTTAGGGGTGTACTCACTTTTGTGGCCAGCGGTTTAGACATTAATGGCTGTGTGTTGAGTTATTTTGAGGGAACAGCAAATTTATACTGTTATACAAGCTGTACACGCACTACTTTACATTGTAGCAAAGTGTCATTTCTTCAGTGTTGTCACATGAAAATATATAATAAAATATTTACAAAAATGTGAGGGTGTACTCACTTCTGTGAGATACTGAACATCATAATTGACTTTATCTCATAATTATAACTTGATGTCTCATAATTTAAAATTTTTATGACATAACTATGATGTTTTATCTCATAGATATGACTTAGTATCTCATAGTTTGTCAAAGTTATGATTTACCTCAGCACTTTTTTTTTTTTTTTGCAGAAATGGTCTTCCATAAAAGACAAACGCACACACAGCTGATCTTTAAACTGTTATGATTGCTCAGTAGATGTTTGCACTGAATTGTTATCATAGTCCACCCATTGAAATCATATATTATTATTTGTTTAAACTCATCCAAAGCTGTAGGACATAGTGTGCATGACAAACCCACAGCTAGTTTCCGGAAGCTGCCAAACCACAGACACTCAAACTACGTTCCTGCAGCTCAACTGGTAGAACAGGGCGCTTGCAACACCAGGCTGTGGGTTTGGATCCCAGAGAAAGCCACTGGGGACGGGAGCTGTCTGTCAGAGGAGTGATTGTGATCTGCCTGTCTCTTAGGTGGTGTATCTGGTCCTGGCGTACGCCACCGTCAGCCTCATCTTCTTCCGCTTCAGGAACTCGTACGACTCTGAGAGCGACTCGTTCCGCGTGGAGTTCCTGCTGGTGCCGGTGGCCGGTCTGTCGTTCCTGGAGAACTACGCCTTCACACCGCTGGAGGTCAGAGCTCAACATGCAGCGCTTTGGATGTTAAGATGAAACACTGTCATAACAGATCTCTGTGCTTGTGTAGATACTGTGGACGTTCTCCATCTATCTGGAGTCGGTGGCCATCCTGCCACAGCTCTTCATGATCACGAAGACGGGCGAGGCTGAGTCCATCACCACACACTACCTGTTCTTCCTGGGCCTGTACCGTGTGCTGTACCTCGCTAACTGGGTGTGGCGCTATCACGTGGAGGGATTCTTCGACCAGATCGCCGTGGTGTCCGGTGTCGTCCAGACCATCTTCTACTGCGATTTCTTCTATCTGTACTTCACCAGAGGTCAGCAGACATCTCACAACTCATCATCTTAGCTCTGTTTTCATGAAATGATCAGAAGATGAATTAGAAGATGATTTATTGATTGATTGTTATTTCTTTGTATTTCGTTTTATCTATCTATCTATCTGTCTGTCAATGCATCCGTCTGTCTGTCTGTCTATCTATTGTCCATCTGTCTATCCGTCCCTTCATCTGTCTGTCTATTTATCATTCTATCTATCTATCTATCTATCTATCTATCTATCTATCTATCTATCTATCTATCTATCTATCTATCTATCTATCTATCT